CACCATCCAGGCGACCATACACCGTCAAAGTTCGACGGAAGACCAGCTAGGTCAGGTGTATCGTCTATCGGCGGGACTAAACCCTCACGGTATTCATCCAACCGTGTACGTAATGCTTGTACTATCTCTGGATAAAGATCGGCGATGTTGTTTCTTTCCTCAGGATCATCTGTATTGAAAGAAAGACAGCGTGCTTTTAATTAGTTCAACCGATACTCATTTGGTACTCACACCTTGAAAATCGAAACACTATGTGTAGTTCGGTAATTACACAGTCTAGAAGCAAGGCTACTAATGAATTTCTTGTTTTTGATGGATATAATTCTGACTAGATTGTTAAGTTTCATTGCTAATGACCACACATAAATGTTACAGTCTGAAACTGAACTGTTGAATGACATTCATTAAAATTAGCTAAACGATTAAACAGTGTGCAATCCAAACGTTTGTTAGCTGTTGAAATTATTAATTGTTAATAATCTAAACAGAGGAATAACATGTCTGATCGGACATGCAAACTAAATATATAGCCTGCCCAGGTGCGTTGTTATGTATGCCCCATCATTTATCTTAATATGAAAAATGCGCTACAGTGGCAATGTACATGACATTTTAGAGATCAGCTATTATAATAGCAACTTGTCAAACAGTATCTGTTTATATTTAGGTTGGCGATTAGAACTTTATTTTGAAGTAATTGATATATCCGTATGTGAATGAATATTTCACCTTACCACCCGACTAATCAAACTTAATATGCGTTCTTCATACCTCTTATATTGAATAAGTATGTCACGTTCTCGGCGGGTATCGAAGTAGGTGGGCCAGGGAACCCGTTTGTCAGGGGGTCACCATAATTGAACCAACCATCTGAAATAAATATATACATTTACATATATTAGATATTAGATCACGCCACTTTCATTTGCGCAAAACTGTAAATCCAACAATGCCTCAAGTATTTATAATATACTAATGGATCTTGTGGGATTTAAGTTACCTGATTGATTGGTTGTTCGAATCGGATACAGTATATCCGGATTCCCTGTAATCAGTTTATAATCTCCAACTCTGGATACATACAAAACATACTTCAGGGTGAGATTGAATGCAACACATATGATAAATACCACCATGTTCGTGGTATGTGGTATACGTAATGAGATGAATATTGTTTTGCAGCTCGTATTTGCTTGATGACTAAATCAATCACTTATCCACTTTGAAATATACTACGTACTAGTAATTTAAACTTTCATTATTAATCACCCACTAATTATTAACAACATAAAAAACATTTTTTTCCTTTAATTTTACATTTAATTTCGAAATTTCCAACAACAAATCATAAGGGATACTCGTAGTTGACTAATATTCATTACAACTATATTGATTATTATTATTTAGGGCCAATCGATACACACAAGCTATCACATATATCCCTTGCGGAATGTGAGACAATACGGGTTATTGTATGACGAGAGTATAATCCTGGAAAGAAAAAAACGGACGACACAGTTCTTCATTACATATCAACTTGTTACAATTTGCATAGATTAAAGGGTTATCTGCTAAACCCCACATTGAATATTACTACTTACCTGATAGCAGCACCCGGGGAAGGCTCAAAGTCATCAATATTATAGACAAATTCATTTCTTGGCGATGGTTTACCCATCGAGAATGTCTTCCACATGTCTATACCGTCGATTCCTCGTTCTGCCGTGT